GAAATTGAAGTCGAAATTTCCTTTGGATGCATCGAATTCTAAATTTTTGATACCATGCAGACAAATAGAGTACCTGAGCATGTTTATATGGCGCCGGAAAGGAATTTTGTATACAGAAACAATGCTATACCTGCATAGATCCTCGGGTACCATTGATCTACAATTTTTGTAAACATCCGCAGCCGAAATACGGTTCCTGGACAGATCATGTTGAACCTAACCACAATCCCAGAGGAATTGGTGCATAGGATATGCTCAGAGCTCTGCTTGTCCGATGTCTATGAGCTGCGGGCCACATGCACATATCTACAAACTGTGATTAGTAACACGCCGGTGATGAAGGACCTGCGAGTGCAGGTATGAGCATTCTACTACTTTCTTCGCCTAAAATCTGAGCTGATCCGAATATGATATGTCGAAGCTTGAATTGGCTGTACAGATGCAATGGGATCTACTGACTGTGATATGTATATATATGTGAGTCACCTGTGGCTTCAAATGTGATCCACGATGTAGCATTTGATAAGGGGGTATTGTTAATTCTTCACAACATCATATGGGTTCTTAAGTTATTCTCGTATGTCCTACCCAGGGATGGGATCGGTTTGAGCGTATGCGGAGTGTGTTTCCTCGCGTATCCGTCGCTCTAGCGTTGGGATCAGAGGACTACGTGGAAAAGTAAGTGGGCGATTTCGACCTGCCTTTCATCACGTTTGTATCATTTAGTATGCAAACTAGTTTGCTCTCCTGTATTTGTGCGTATTCGCACATGTAAACCTGACAACAAATCTCTAATCAATTTCGTCAAGTGAGTAACGTCAATCATATGTGATCTGTCATATTAAAAATCGGTTGAATACAGTGTATACAAGCACAGCTCAGCACATACATAATTGCGATGAACACAACGGGGTGTATTCATATTAAGACACTGAGTTATTCGCAAACGATATTATATGATTGAATGCAAGAAAAAGCACAAAGATTCGAATATAGCCTCACATTTCGTTAAGCGGATGGACTTGTGCGTTTTCAATGCCGTGAACGCCTGTCTGAAGTCTGTGCGTCAATCGCACAATTGCTTGTAGATAAATTCATGCATGGTAGATAGTGTGTACTTCCCATGTGAAAGTATCATTGCTGATGGCGTTGGTCAACTCATTCTACTCGTTCATTAATTTTCGTACGTTTCAATCGATGTGCATGGTGACTCATGTGCACTCGTGATCTTTCGGGACATTCCCAATACGCAGTGTGGATGCGTTGATGGCGAAGCATGCGTGCTACATCAACGGGCTAGATCTCTACAATAGCCGTTTGGATGAGGTGTCCAACTTCGTCCATCTGCTGCGTGGCATTCAATCCCTCGACATAAGCTTCAATAATGTGCAAAGCTTCCCTAATTGTAAGTCCACTTAATTCACACTCAGTTCAGTGTCCCTTGTCTCAGTACTACCTGATACAATAGCGTGTACGTCCAGAGCCCATCGTGCACTAGTCGGCTCCTCGGAGATGGCTGCATCATGACCTTTGTATTCAATCTCGCCTTGCGGAAAAGGTTATGATACGAGTATTGTGCCACATATTACAGTATTCCTACTGGCGCAGATACTGAGGTATTGCGTTTTGGATATTCTTGTCACTGGAGTTATGTAGCCGAAGGACTCCTCGCTTCTAACTTTTAACATAAATCTGCGACAATGCCTTTACGTTCGATTTATATAATGTTGCCCATCTGTGTACCATGTGCTTCTCATCACGAGATTTTGTCTAGATATGTCGCAAAGGCAGATGCCTGTACGTCCATGAACGTTAGTCTGTGACTCGCACCAAGTCGTAAACCCAAAATTTCTTATTTTGATCTGCTCTTCGCTATTGCTTTCTGTACTGCACATCTGGTCGCATGACTCCTCATAGTGTTCTTCCGGTTCAGAGGTCTGTCCACTCCACTCACCCCACTCCACCCCTTCCAGGGCTGTGCCACCTGCACACCTTGCGAATCGGCAGTAATCCACTGCGCAGTTTGGACGCCATTTGTCGATTGACATCACTGCGATTACTCGATCTGTCGTATCTGACTCGCCCGTCCGATGTGCTGACCGAGGCGCAAACAGGTCCACTAAGCAATCTCAAGCAGCTGGCCACGTTGTCTCTGGCTGGTATGTGCTTTAAACCTTTGCATTCCATCTCTCACGTAAGATTGTATAACTTCTGCTCGTATTAGTATGCTCGCCTGTGTTAATATACGTATGTTCGCATTATTCCACCTAATAGCTGAATTCACAGGCACTGATCACTTTACTGTGGCTCCCTCGCAGGCAATGCTTTGTTGACGATCCCGTCGTTTGTGTCGAGTTTGTCGCGGCTGAGCACACTCTACCTGCAGGATAACAACCTCACATCGCTGCTGCCGCTCGCATGCGTACCTACACAACCGCATAAGCTCATACCCACACAAACACGCACGTATGGCACCTACGCCATTGACAAGTGTATGCGGCTTGTAGGTGCGCAGTCGTTGCCACACTTAGAAAGCACCGCAACATACAGGCCAGCACATGCTGCGAGAACACATACGGAGGAGGTGGACACAGACGTACGCGACACCAGAAGGGATGACGTACATGACGCAGTCTCTGATAGCACTGTAAGAGAATCCCCGTCCACCGGCTGTGCGTCTAATGAGCAGCCCACAGTTAGGCAACCGCTTAGGGGCCTGCGCAAAATCAATATTAACTCCAACAAGATTGCAGCCTTACCAGCGGATATGAGTGTGTACCACCCACACTTGCATGTGCTGCTGGCGAGTGACAACCGATTGGAAACGTTAGACTCGCTGGTGCAGCTGCGTGAGCTGAAGGAGCTGGACGTGAGCAGCAACTGGCTGACGTACAAGAAGCACGAGCAATCGGTGAAGGAGAATGAGGTGGTGTACCGGACTGTGCTTAACGACTGTCCACACGGTAAGTGCTTAGATGATGCACCTGGTGCTGGGGGTGCCAGCGGGCTCACCTACACGCAAGCTTGGAAATTGGCTGGCAACAAGTCGCAGCTCAGACTGAATGAGCCGCGTGTGTACCAAATGCTGCACAGTCTACGAACAAGAGACATGCGATACAATCACACCGATATAGAGAAGTGGATGGAGTGGCAAGCGACAGAGGTGCATAGCAGGACACAGGTGCATAGCAGGACACAATTGAGCGCACCAGATTGGAGACACTCCTGTTCACAAATGCTTTCAGTCGATGCTGAGTGTCTGATGGATGCAGAGGCAATTGCGAGTTCGCTTTGCTCATCGTGTAGCCGTTGTTGCTGCTGCAGTTCTCCCTGTACCTGTGAGTGCAAAACATCAAAACAGAAAGAGAAGGAGGAATACGCAAAGAAAAAGAAAGAATACGGGGTCGTGGAGCGTGTGTGGTACGCAGAGGCAACCGTGCTCCGCAGTGGCCCCAGTTCAAATGTAGAACAAACTAGCAATACAATATTAGATAGTCTTGGCCATGGCCAATTAGATGCGACGAATCGTGCTGCGTAGGAGCCACGTGGCTACACAGAATCCCGCGCAACATGTGCCGTCACTCAACTCATTGAACGTAGAATGTCATGGACCCAGGGGGATTTTCAGAATAAGTGTGGCCGTGAACAACCCAGAATCGAGCCTCGAGCGTTTTATTTTGACGATATGGACGGTTTCATTTTACCTTCAGTCGGCACAACTCGACACAACTCCCGTATGATTCCCCAGAGATTCATTTGATAGACGCAATAGGATAGTTCCATTGGAGAAACAGCTCAATTGGGTGTGGTGAGCATGCACATGCTCAACAAAGTTGATTGTATATTCTTCTCCGATAGCCTGTATGCCAGCTATTGGGGCAGAACTTTAGAGGTATGCCACTAGGCGTACGGCGTCAAACTCCAATATTAGATATTTCACTATCCATTCAGAGCTAAAAATAACACAAACAGCTAGATGACCCTGAATGAACAGAGTCGATTGGCCCTCGGTGATTAAAGCAGAGTCTGCTGAACTCGCATATGAGGGGTGCTCTGTAGCTGGCAATGTCGCGAAAGGTGTCCCCCAGACTAAATTGATATCCCGTACGCCCAGATTATCTCTTAATCACGTCATCCGGCCATAGACTACGTTGCTCCTCATTCTTTATCTGCAGCACAACACTCGTCTAGTTGTTACGAAATCTCTTTAATAAATGGATGCTACCGACCAGTCATTAAGCGATCTCTATATTAGGAAACACGGAAAATAAGCTTGCTTTCAGAACACAAAACAGTCGCGTGCATAAGCATGTCCGTGTCCATAAAAAGTAACTGATATGTTTTCGTCATATACTTTTGCGAGATACCTCTGTGTCCCCTTTCTCGTTCAGCGAGCAGCACTATCAATTCACCAGTGGCACGTACAGTAGCTTTGAAGGCATATGAGATCATTCTGATGTTCATTCAAGAGAAGGCAAGTGCATGTGTGAGACCACTGTACAGTTCTTGGTGCCTATTTCTTATAGCATTATATATTGCGGCTGTGTCCTCACTCTGTATCTCCAGTACTAAACAACCCAGAACCGGCCATAAGTGATCTTCTGGAGGTGAAAATCACAACAAAGCCCATTCTGGGAGACTTCGTCTATGATTCCAATCGGCAAATTGTCCGCACGAGTCTCATGCATGGGCTTTATAAGACAGCCACAGGCATTACTACTCTTGTTGCTAGCACATTGTACTTTGTTTAAAAATCATATTTTAACTCACGCAAACAAAAACCCTAACACTCGGATACAGTACTACACAAACAAAATTTGTTGGTCGCTGTGGTGTAAGTATCAACTCCTCCGTACCACCTGGCTAACATTTAATCTTTATCACGTTTCTACCCTCATCTCAGATATCTACTTCGATCTACGTAACTTTTTTAAAAATCCCTGCTATATTGTCTGGTATTCCCGAGGATTTTAAACCCTTCTGCTAATTCGTTCAACATACTAATTGAATTTCTTGACACTGAGACAACACTTCGCTAAATACAAAGTTTTCTGATTGACGCACACACGGGGCTGGCCATTTGTCCAGCAGAATAGCTTGTTTTGGTTCTTAACCTTTTGTTCTTCTGTCCATCAAACATGGAAGCAAGAGGCGCATTCTATATACATTTCAAAAATGTGCTATTACCGATAAGATATGCGTTTGTTATCACGGTGGATCCACCTGATACAACTGAATCCACAGTACAGTATTTTAATACATGAGAACACAATTACATTCCAGTGCTTTTAAACCCCCCCCCTTCGTCGCCAATTTTGTAACACATCGAAAGGCCATCAAGACTACCACTATTACTGTTCATATTTCTTATCTGTTCGTTTTGTTTGTGGGTTTGTCCTGCGAGATAAAGGTTTTCATGTGATTATTCTATTATTGTCTGAAAGGGTAGTGGTCGGGAATAGACTCAACTGCTAACTAGCTTACGATTTATTTAGATAGTACATTTAAATATTTGCATAAATTCTGTGTATTTCATTTTTTTTTAGTTTGATTCTTTTGCTAGGATGAATGGGGGCTACTTCGTGATGCAATGTATTAAAGTGTAGCTTATCACAGCCAGTATTTTGCTGTAGATAATAAATATAAGCTTTCCAGCATTCGATGGCGACAGTGTATCCCATACTCACAATAAAATTTCTTCCGCGAAAACTATGTACCACGGGTTTCGTCTATATAGATCACAACAGAGCAAGGAAGGAAATGGGCGAGTCAAGGTAGGATGAATGGGGGCTACTTCGTGATGCAATGTATTAAGGTGTAGCTTATCACAGCCAGTATTTTGCTGTAGATAATAAATATAAGCTTTCCAGCATTCGATGGCGACAGTGTATCCCATACTCACAATAAAATTTCTTCCGCGAAAACTATGTACCACGGGTTTCATCTATATAGATCACAACAGAGCAAGGAAGGAAATGGGCGAGCCAAACGTGCTTTCCATACACTGGAGGATTGGGCTACCATAATTATGGATTCGACTGCATTAAGTCATAAATGCACAGTCGCGTCTTTGTCTAAACTGTTCTCTCTACAATGATTTTAGGTACTACCTCGGGAATACAACTGATAAAAGGGGTTACTGTCATGCTACTCGAATGAACAAACATAGACGATGTGCTCAAAACAAGATTTGATTAAGCAATCTAGTGTTAGGTGTGACACTTGTACACTTCAGGAAGTCAGACATAAAGTACGACCGAAATGATTTGGCATGGGATCCCGTCGTGTTTTAGGAAAGAATTACCTTATACTGTAGTTTATGTAGACTGCTGAATGTGGACTGCTATCTTGAGGAACGACCACCTGGTGTCGATGAACGTGATATCAAACTCCATATATTATACACTAATATACTATGTCATGTGTGCCTATCTCGCAGCTCACCTGTCCCACGGGTACTTATCATAACTTGAGTGACATTTTGTCACATCAATATTTATAAAATGGTTCAGATCTGGCAATTTGTTGTTGTGTCGTGGTGGATCAAAAAAGTATACTTATATTAGATGCTCAGTATGCGATTTGCACGCGCAGAATCGGTGTGTATCTTATTATTTGTATTTGCGAGGCGAGCAGTGTAGGGATCGCATACATATATACAAACTTTTCATTCTTCCGTATTAGCCCCTGGCAGGTCAGTGCGCGCTATAAGTTGACTGGTGAATACGACAAATCTTCACAGTTCAAATCGATATGATCATCATGGTTCTTTTAGGCGTTGCAACAACGCCAGCATTTCCAGGCGACGGCGAGTTGAGCTCAAAGATCTTCCCAGCCTATCACAGTGCGTGAACTATTTAAGCAATGTGCACAAACGAAAATGTTTTACAGTTTAGATCATACATTCATATTTCGTACTCAGAACGTTTTTTTTCACATTCGCGCGTCAACCATATTAGCAGACATTGCCCCAGTCCAGTTGTGGAATGGTAGGAATGTCGTGCAGGAAGCGATATACGAAGCTTCAGACACGGGACACGCTTCCCGTCGTACTGACTTTTCTGCTATGATCACTGCCACCTACTTTTGGATAGTCACCACTGGATTTCAAGCGAAAATCAAACAGGGGAGGACTAGCGCAACATGGCCAAGTGATTTGCTTTATACAGGGTTTAATCAAAACATCTGATCATACATCAGCAACTTAAAATAGTCACAACGGTTTCGAAAGTGTTGCCAAGAAACATCAATGTACACGTGCACACATCTGAATGTTGTATTCAACTATCAATGCTGCCTATAATAGGTAATGTAATACCTTCACTGCGCAGGGTCGTATCGAGAGGCGAAGAAGACCACAATGCGATAGTCTACACGAAATGTGATACTGGGTACTCTACCGAGCCAAATCGCTCACTGTGCATACACCTGCGAATTAAGCTGCATTAGTACTAGTCCTCATTAATACAAGCAACACATGGGTGTTTTTTCTTTTGATAAACTGGCCAGTGGAGCCAGAATATGAGCGATCGATATATATTCCGACCACCAAACTACCAGTGAAACCAGGTTCAAAGTAAGTGCTTGCCGCATCTAAATCCCACCTCGCGGCAAATTACAAATGATGCTTTCAAATGCCATGTTAAAGCACTCTTGTAAAAGCCGAACTGGACCCGACAGCGTTTGCAGCAATTAACAAATGCCCAGGGACATTGCCAGTGCTTTTAATGCATGGTCATTATACTAAACTATGTCTTGTAAGCCTGCGAATACTTCTCTCAGACTTAGCTCGCAAGCTACACTAGCATATTGGCCAAAGGGAATGATGGGACCCATGTACTTCTTGGATTGCTTCGTTATACAGAAGCTGTGAACTAGATCCACACGAGAGGTACAATGTTCCTTGTTGTGGGCCAAATACACTCGTTCGATGAGAAATATAATGGAGCAGCATACATGTGCTCATTGATCTCATTTCCAGCTGTCTACGTTGACTGGGACTATACTTTCAGAGCCTTCGTCATTACCTGTCTTATTTTACCCACTTTGACTGGCTCACCGGTAACACAAGCTGTGTTGTGGTGCGGAAATACTTTTCTTGTTTGTATTGAGCTCCGGTAAGTCAAAGTAGTATAACTTGCCCATCCAATAGAACAATGCTTTCATATCTTCCAGTAATGCTTCAATCACCGTATATAAAGTACCAGTAACTCCAGCTAAGTCTTACACTTCTAAAACCTAACCTTCATCGATTTGGGTTTATGCCATTTGGGCCAATATAGGTCGCACAATACAAACATATTGTTTATAAGACTGTACACTTTGGCACATCCTTTGCATCCTCTGAAAATTTTGGCTTGTTTTCATACATCTACTTAACTTCATTCAGATTGTTACAATTGCCAATCCATGCTTGGGAACAACAGTAACTCTCCCACCTACACCAAAATACAAGACAAATGTAGTATATAATACAGTACCCGACGAGTAGATCATTGTTCACTAGGCCATCTACTAGTTATTATATCAGCATTGCCAACTTAGTAAGTTTTTTTAATACAGATAACTTCATATTGGTCTATAACTCTTCAGCAGGCACATTAGCAACCCTCTAATATTTCGATATCATATGGCATACTTGTTGGTTATATATATATATATATATATATATATATATATATATATATATATATATATATATATAATATATATATAGAGTACGTAC